CACACACACACACACACACACACACACACACACACACACACACACACACACACACACAAAGTTTAGTGAAAGTTTTTCTTTACAGACTGAAATACAAATAAATGACATAATTACAAAATAAGAAATTCCAGCAATAGAAACGCTTTCCAAGTCATTTTTTTTCCTCATTAAGAAACTTATTAAACTAATTCTTACAGCAGGTCAAGGCTATTCAGCTAAATTGCTCTGGAGACCACAGTCACTGCAGGCCAACARCACAGGGGCTTCAGAGATTAATTAACCAATTAACGGGCCGAACTTTGGTCACTCACGTCAGTTGAACAGCMCTGCAGTAGGTACTGTTTGTTGTATATTACAGAACAGGGTAAAGTAGTTCCAGTGACTATTTCTGTTTATCATATTTTCACTTGACCTCCAAATATCAACAGATAGAAAATATCATTAGAACAAAGCTTGTGTACAAACAAGAGGTCTCACTTCAACATAATTTGGGGATCTCTTTGCTGCATTTCTGGTTAAAACGTGTTTGTTCTTCATTTAGTGAAGTTATTTATGATAGAGTATTCAGAAGTGTTACTCAATTAAGAGTAGCAATACTTCATAATAATATTAATGAAGTAAAGTAAAAAGTACAGTGCAGTATAACTACTCTTAAAAGTAATCCCCCCCCCCAAAAAAAAATACAATAAAATAAAAGTTAGTAAATGTAACTAGTTACTACTCAACTCTGGCTTTCACTGAGCCAAATATTCTGTAAAGTTGGCAAAAATTAAATTACACATTAATACATCTGTGTAGACAATATGATCCTTGGAGAATAGATTCAATTATAAGCAAAATAAATTATATTTAAAAATGAGGTTTATTGTAGCCAGAGCTGATTTGTGGAGTATGTTTAGAAGGAAAAAYGAGCCTCTCACTGTGGTGAGAAAGTGAATCTCTATGGTTAAAAAGCTGAGCAGTCCTGTAAAAACACAAAGAACCAGATGGGCCAGAAACGGATGAAATTTTCTGTTCCACATTTATAATATTCTGCTCTTAGGAGCAAGGCCATAATTATGTGGTGCTGGTGGTTAAAGCTGACAGAGAGGATGACTAAGCCAAACTGTGGGACTTTCTGTGCCCACTCATCTTCAGCACCGAAGCCCGCAATTCTCCGAAACAGCTGTAAAACATGACCGCAGGCCTGGCAAGGTGCTCTGCATCGGACACAATAATCCAACAGAACAAGGATCCTTGTTCCTGGCTTTAACAGGTAAAATCTGCTCGGAGGTGCTGAATGTCCCTGTTGTTTGCCTCGCAGATGGGAGTCTCCGTGGTGGATTCAGCAGTGGCCAGCCTTGGCGGTTGCCCCCACGCTCGGGGTTCAACTGGCAACGTTTCAACAGAGGATGTTCTTTACATGCTTCACGGCATGGACATTCAAACAGTAAGGATGCTACAGTCTGCTTTGTTGACAGATTTGCTGTATTTTTATGCTTCTATAATCCCAACCAAACCAAAGTCATAGAGCTTATTTACATAAACTGATTGCTTTGCAAACATTTGGTTCTGGTTCTGTTTTATGGCTTTCCACAACTTGTGCAAGACCAAAGTTGCTGCACACATGAAGACTTTAACAATTCCTACCCCTGCTGGTGGAATACTTTCACTGCAATTTATTATTATTTTTAAACACTAATCACACACGTGCTTTTAACTTTAGAATATAAACTTGAACTTTTTCCCTCCTCACAGGGTGTGGACCTTAATAAAGTGATAGAGGCTGGTGACTTCATCTGCACTGCTTTGGGCAGACAAACAAACTCCAGGGTTGCCCAGGCGAAAGGCAGGATGCTGTGACAAGTCTATGCAGGAAAAAAAAGACTGATATTTTTTAAATTGCTCTCAGATTTTTCCCCCTTTTAATTTAATATTTAAGATTCTGTATTAGAATTATAATATTTCTTGTGTTTGACCCTCATCAGCATTCAGAATTATTTAGATCTTCTCGTTTTGTTTATATTTGGCATTTACAACTGAATTAGAGATAGATAATTAATTACCCGATTGGTTTTAACCAACTGATACTGGCCTTTTATTTTTTTAAATGGCAGCTGCCTGTCAAATAGCAAATAAAGATGCAACRACAGCTGCTACAACCAGCTTACTGTAGCCCACACTTTAGGGTCTTTGTGTAGGAAAAATAATTGAATCCTGTATACAAAATGTTCTAAGGGTTAAATGCTCATTTAAGTTAAGCCTAATTCACAGAAGTCAGAGCTTTTATTTGAGACGAATCTTCAGATTGAYGACTTGCAGATGAACTCAAAGTGTGATTTTTGTCAAGTGCTGCAGTAAATATTTCCATTGTGGGACCTTATCAGTTTTGAGTGTCGCATATTTGCAATATAAAGGTCTTTTATTTATTTTTTCTATATCTTTGCATAGCTACGTGGCCTTATGAAATATGAAGCAAACATATTCTGAGTGCCTCTTTATGCACTTTAAACCTTATAAGACAATAGTGTTCCCACCTGCTCAATTTTTGTGCAAACATCAGCTGTAGAATCGGCAAACTTGCACAGCTCTGTGGAGCTTTTTGCCAAAGAATATACAGTATTGATTATTTAATTGTTTGTTTTTTTCACTTATCAATACATCTCTCTATTGACCTTGATTGAAGCTACTTTCAGGAATGATTATACTTGAGGGTTTTTGTCAAATCATTTCTATCTCCACCTCTCACCCTCTGGCTGTTGGAGAYGAGCATCAGCCCTTTGTGAGCCTGAACAAAAACAAGAGMRTAAAGAAAAGGGATGAATTGATGTTACATTCTTCTGTCTTATCTGTAAGACATGCTGGAATAACAAAATATCAAAAAAGGAAATCTGTCACTGACTTTTAATTTGATTTTATCTAACAAATTGTACAGTATATGGATATGGAATGAAAGTCAATAAAAATCAGGAAAWGAAAGCCCACTTGACTTTAATGAATGAGTGTCACATTTTATAGCAATATTTGCACAAGTATTTGAAAGATGTGGTAATAAACTGCTTGGCAAATTATCTAAAAAAATTAAACTTCTTTGTGTCTCGTTCAGAAATATATTCTATGGAACCAAGTTTCATTTAAAATGCATGTGCCTACAAAAATATTAAGTAGCATGGTGCCAGTGAAACAAGGAGTGTGTGTTTAAGTATTTTCAATCCTTTGAGTTTCAGGAGGTTGCGTTTATGTTCAAAGAGATGATTCAACTGTTAAAATCTGGCCTGGATGACAAGATGAGGTTTTCTGTGAGGAGATTACATGTTTTCCATGCACTRGTCCAAAGATTTTCATGTTAGGTTGAGAGAGAATGCTAAATTTCCAATAGATGCTGTGTGTGTGTGCATGTGTGGTGTGTGTCTGTGCGTGCATTAGCTTTAAAATGAATTATCATCCTGTCAGAGGTATACTCAGACATTGGGCCTAATAGATGGGATACAAGTTCAGTAAATATGATTTGAGAAGGAAAAGGTGATAAATAAAGAGCAACGTAAAGGTTTGAATTTATAACAAGAGACAGAGAGAAAGAAAGAGAGATTGTGTAAAAGAAATTATAAGAGAAGCATCTTTTCATGAGAGAAACTAGCATTCCTTGATAGAAAGCATGCAACCGTTTAAACCTAATAAGTGAAACACTGTCTGTGTTATAGCCATTCACGTTTTCTAAGAGCAATTAACTGTGACTTAATTGGAATTAGGGTTGTAGAAACACATCTAAAACTTGTAAAGTTATAATTAATAAGGTCTTTTAAAAAAGACACAAATTAATGTCTTCGACTACATAACAATTTTTCCAGTTTCTTGATGCTGTAAAATCAGGGCAGGCTGGAACTTGTCTAACCAAAAATATTTTCAGAGGGTTAAATGTCCCCTTGACAAATTATGCAATTATGTGCCAGAAAACATTTTTTAATCAAGAAAATATTTGTAAAATGTGAACGCAAACACTATGATTTATGGCAGAAAAATATACAACCTGAACTGTTTAAGATGCTATCATCCTGCTGCCAGTTACTCATGAAAAGATTAATTAAAATAAAAAAAACACTTGTTTTAAAAGTGCTGCACTTATTTAGTCGTGCACTACTTTAAACTCTCATGTTCTCTGCTGGATATCTTTCAAAATATAATTTCTGACAGAGGTATAGAATCAACCTGCTGTAAATGCTTATTTTGCGAAAGTTCTTGCTTTAAGTTATCAGCGTTGATGTGTAAAGATGGTATCAGCAACAAATGTCGTGGATCTCAAAAAAGAAGCGAACAAATATTTTTATTAATTTTAAGATTCTCGCTATCATTGGTACTTTTAACTAAAATGCRTAGCATTTAAAGTCATGGGTACTAAAAATGTGGAGCTCCTATCACTGTGGGCTTGACTTGTATTTCAGAATAAGAGTTTTCTGGGATCATTTAGGTTTCTGAAGAGATCTGATTTAATATAAATGTAGATTGATATAAAACTTAAACCAATGGCCCACAACACAGGAGCAAAGGTATTGGCATATTTAACGACTCCACAGTGGAGCTATCTGTCCTCATGACCTGTTCATGAACTGTTCTGTCAGAAAGTAAATTTAGTAAATGAGCTGCTGTTAAGTCTGGTTTTTGTTTTTCATACAAGGTTCAAGACACATTCCTCTTCTTCACACCCAGCAGATGAACTTTAGCTCCTTCATGCAATGTTGGGACACAAATCTTATCTTCGTTAAACAATTTGCATTTCATCTGACATTTACCCAAAGAACTGACATTTACCCAAAGAAGCACCACAAATTAATCATTTCCATGTTCACTACGACACGTTGTTCAATTCTTTTATTTATTTTTTTAAACGGTATTTTGTTCCTTTACAAAAAAAAAAAGCACACCTGCACATCCTGTCCTGGACACAACAATGAAGTCTTTCCTGGCAGGTGAGGGTCTCGATGCCAGATGCCCCACTCATCGATCAGCTTTCATGAGCAGACAGTCCTCCTGATCTGACAACATCTTGGGGGGCATGTTTCTGTAGAGCTGCTGAATTTCACGCTGACATTTGTTGTTGCACAGCTCCACCGCAGACACCTGAAGCACAGGTGTGAGGCGCCTGCTGCAAAACCAAATCACCGATGCAGGCTTTAAATTTGTCGGTGCAGGATCCTAAACCAACATGCACTGCAAAAAATTAAATATATTATATTAAACAATAAAGCCTTTCCTTTCTTTATTCAAACATTTTCAGATGAGGTTGTAATATTGTATATTAAACTGCTTGACTTCCAGTCTGYGCTCCTCTTCTGATGAATCACTGTTTAAATAAGACAACTGACTCAGACTACAGCRCAGCAGTCTCTGCTCACAAATCAGATCACTCTTGGGAAACATTAAGTAATCGCAGGTATGGATGAATCACCCAGACACAAGGGAACATTCAGCACCTGAGCATTGTTTGGCCAGCTCCTGTACAGAGTCACAGAGCTCCTCCTCCCAGGCACACGCACAGCCTTACAGAGAGGGAAATTGGTCTAGTGTGGTGTGGGAGGTCAAGTTACCGCTGAGCACTTTATTTGGCATGCTTCATCTTAAAGGGGCAATACCATGTAAAATAAACTTTTTTGAGTTTTATATCATATTATAATGTTATACTCTCATAAAAAAACATGCCCAAAGCCTTGCTCTGACTCATTCATGCATGTTTGAGAAATCCTGCAGCGTTTTTAGGAAGCCATGCTGAGGAGCAAAACGACAGGTGGGGACCAGAAACGTCTTTTGGTACCAGAAACACCCCTGGGACGTGTCTTTAAGCCGAGCTTCCTCATGGCTGAGCCCCCCGCCCCCCCTCAACACACACACCCAGCCCATGACTCCTGCAGGCTCTCGGGTGAAAAACTGAAAGTGAAACTTAAACGGTCTTCTGAGCTCTCAACATTAGTTCTCACTCACCGAAGCTCTTTTCAGATTAAAAATACATTTGAGGAAATGTATTTTCAGATGCCAAGTAAACTGCATCATAGCAGACCCAGCCCCTCCCCCTTGCGAGCGCGAAC